CTTATAAAGTTGTTACAAAGTCCAGTCTTTACCTTTTTCCTTGCCCTCCATATTTTTTAAGACTCTTTCAGAATTTTTTCAGAATCAGAATTTTTGAATAATTGAAGTAGCAATCCACAGGTTGCCTGCAAATTATTTGCCATATCAGGTAACACGCTGTCAAGTTCTGGTAAAACATATATTAAATGATACGAAGTAATGTAAAAGTACAAGCTTTTAATCTACCTCACTTCAAATCAATCAAAATAAAAGGCAAAACATTAACCAACATTTTCATTACAGTCTTTGAACAATGCTCAATGCACAATTATTCAAAATCCTCAGTTTTTCTACAAATGCAGGCACTATTAGGGTAACAACAGATAATTTTGTGTGTAAGTAGAAATTAGCATACAAACGTAGTGAGTCGAAAGGAAAGTGGGCTGATCGACGTAGACAATGGGTAGATTAATCTCTCCTAACCATAACAATCACCTAAGCTTAATTCTACAAAACGATGAGACCGATCAATATTACTTTTTTGCCAACCTTATACATTGCAGAGTTATCCTGAATTATTCTTCACATCTTTTCACTTGGTAAGTAAGATTTGCTTAATGCGTTCAAGCCAACAAGAGCATTGTAAGATGGCGTACATTCGACCTTTTCTATGATATAGTATGGACTAGCATACTTGCTGGTTTAATAAACAAGCTAATTTTTTTAAATTTTGAGTTCAAGATTTTTCTGAGAAGGATATGCTCTTCAAGATTTCTAAAACAGAAACTATGTTTTTATGCTTTTGGGCTTCCTTTGGCAATGATATTCTCAGCCACCATGTTAGCAGCATGTTCTATTATTTCTAGCAGTTTAGGGGAAAAATAAAAAGCAAAAATTGATGAGATTAGTGGATTTGTCACACCAGTTTCTATTAGGTCGAGGAATAAGTTCATAGCGTTTTTATATTTTTTTATATTTTCAACAATTTTTTGCTGTTTAACAGAAAGTATAGTAATTTTTCGTTAGAGCATTCTCTGCTC